TTTTATTATGTAGAACATATATATATATATATATATATATATATTTGGAACATATATATAACATTTTGGATCTAGTGCAAATCACTATAATTAATAATTTATTCCTTATCAAGTTGTTAAATCGAAAATGTCCTTTAACATGCATATGGAACTTTCTAAGAAAAAGATTTTTTGAGAAAATTACCAAATAAACAGTAAGCAGGGATGTGCCTACGAAATGTTGGAACCCGACGAGTGGGCATACCGTTTATGACTATCTTGCGCAAAAAGATTTAGACGACATCTGTTCTCTTGCCTGTCCAAGATTTTAGATTTTAATTTTTCCTTGTTTTTGTAATTATCTTAGCAAGAATTTTCAGGGCTCTTGTGTTTTTTTTTTATCGCAACTTTTCCCCCACCTTCTAAAGGAACAATATCAAACCATAATATATGTAATTTTGATCGGTGGAATTTTTCCATATCATTGCCATCACCGCCCTTTTGAGCCTTTTTGGGTTAATCCTTACACGACTCTTTTAAAGTCATTTTTTACGCGCAGTGAAAGAAACAAACGATAGTCGAACAAGGTTTGGTCTAGGCTGCTTCTTTCAACTGAACTTCACAATTACAAACAAATTACATTGAATCGCATCAGTACAACAGCAACAGTGCAGAGTGTATTTAATCGTTTGAAGCAGTTCATAGTGCACGAACGTCAAACACATAGATCAAATTAGGGATCTGTCACCCTTTGCGCAACTTCACCCTACTTTAGACCGCGATTGTTTTCGTATATTATTAACGTATGTGTTTCACTTTTCGGCAGCGATGTTCAGATAGGATTTCGGAAGATTCAAATTGTCGCCCTTGATTCATATGCCACCGAAATATCGAGCCCACTTTGTGGGCAGCTTTATGGGAGTGGTGCAAAACTATTTCTTGGTCAACCTAAGAGTGACGAGTATTTTAAATAATGAAATTTCCATAGCTGAAGCTGATTTGGAGCGAGAACACAGCGCCAAATGTTTTCACAAGATCTTTAGTCGAAGTGATATGCAGTCGTAATGCTTCCTTTTTTATATATCTAACGACTATTATTTCTCATTTCTCATTTCTCTCTCAACTTTCTGTTTATGTTCTATATATTGTGCTGCTGGTTAATGAATTAAATCATATCGAGCGTGTTGACGATGTCTATGTAAATGAAATTGAACAAACTAACTTAGGACATGACGACATACATTCGAATATATAGAAAGCCACACAGAATGGATGGATCGATAGTATAAAGTTAAATTAAGTTAAAATGTTTCGAATTATAATTAATCGTTTAAATGTTAAAATCTTTTTTCAAAGTTTTCATGTGCTGTTAAACCAAAAACATAAACTTTCTGAAACCGTATTGAGAACACTTGCCCCTCTCCCTTCCTGCTTCTAAGTCCCTGTCCCTGTCCCTGTCACACTATTCTTAAAGCCGTTGCAGTACGCAAGTAGTTGCTTTCATTAAAAATAAATCCTCCCACCGACCCTTTGTACAGAAAAGTAGTAAAGCGTTTTAAAGCCTTTTTTCTTTTAAACTAGAAATTCTAGCCTCAAAATAGTAACAAAACACATCAACTATATTAAAATGCAAAAGTCAAAAATATTAAACGTCATTTTTTTAGCTGATATCAAATTTGTTAACGTAGGTTTGGTATCAGAATAAAAAACACCCTGAGGGCATTCGAAAGGAAGGAAAAAATAAAATTGAATTTTTATTCGAAAAATGAAGAAAACACTTAATAATAATAATAATAATAATAAATATATTTTGCGGCTAACATTTCTTGTGTGATTAACTAGGGTCAGATCGATGTGTTACACGATTCCTTTTTCGACTCTCTCTCTCTCTCTCTCTCTCTCTCTCTTTCTCTCTCTATATATATATATATATATATGTATATGTATATGTAGATATGAATATATCATGTATATGCTACGCCTACGACATTTAGGTAAGTAAGTGTTAGAAGCAGGGTGACAGCGTGGCGTACAATTATGAGTTAGTATAAATTTTAATTCCATTGTTTTCCAATAAATTATTGTAAAATGATTTAAATGTAAAACAATACGTTGTTGTTGCTCTTATTGGTGATGTGTTAACAGCTAGCGTGGCAACGACGCCGATTTCTTCATAAAAAGAAGAATAAATTATCTCCGACACATAAAATAATAATAAGTTTATCTGTTTCACGTATATATTACATATATATATATATATACGCAGTATTTAGAATATAGTTTTACGCATCCGTATGTTTCAGTTACATTTTTCTCTTTAATAGATTCCAAGTGGAATACTCAGACGTTAAGTGTGCTTTGCATACTTGCAAACGTATATACAAATATGAATTTCTATATAACAAACTTATAACGGAATTTAGTTCAAAGTCAACAAGGCTACTAAAGTATATATATATATATATATATATATATATATATATATATATATGTGACATATATATATTAATATAAATAAACATTTATTGTGCATGCATTCCAATGAAGGCTAAAAGTGAAAAAGTGGCAATCAAAGAAAGTCACATACACGCTTATCGGTAACTACCTAATACCTTAAGACACCAAGCCGCTTAATAGCAACTATTTGGTATGCGAGAGCACCCCACTCTCTTACGCCCAAGCAAGTTTAAGTCGTTTAATTTATTGCATAAAATGCACATTATACGGAACAGGGACAACAACAACAGCAAGCGCAGTTCCAACAGCTAGTTAAGTAAACCAATCAAAATAAGCAACAACAATGGCATTTCTCGATTATTGCCATCGTAGAATACTTACTATCTTGGAGGGAAAGTTAGAAAAAAGAACATAAGGTCAAGAAAATGCATTCTTTAGTTGTTACAATTATTATCGAAAGGTTATACGGAATAAGTGATTTTTATACTAAGCAGAAAACGTTGTCCCCCTCCCTCCCTTTTTCTTTATATAGGCGTATAATTCGGTTCGTTCAATGCAAACATGCATTGTGTATGAGCGACGTACCGCATACATGCATACTATCATAAAATATATATTCGTACAGAACGGAAACATATATCTCGCATATACTCATCGAACATTTATTTGAATGCTTGCCTATATCTTTTTAAAAATTAAATTAATGAATGCAAGTATAAAAGAGGTACGAGTAGCTTTCCTAACAATTGATATTTTGTTAACATTTCATCGTAAATGCTAAAATTAAAATAGGAGTTAATAAAGAAATTATTATTTAGTACACAGCAGCAAATAGTATGTGAGAACAATAATAATAATTACATTTTTCCCCATCTCTCTCTCTCTCTCTCACTATCATTCTAGTTCTTTTCCACGCGTTCTCTTCCACGCGCTCTCTCTCTCTCTCTCTCTCTCTCTCTCTCTCTCTGTCTTTCGTGTGTTTTCCTTCATTTATCAACAAAACAAAACAAAACACATTCACACACGCGGAGAAGCATTTTAAGTATTTCAAATTTTTAAGTACAAACAATAATTGTGTCTTCATTAAAGTTTCGAATGTTTTTTATTAAGTAATTAATGAGTTTGTTTATTATGAATTTCTGTATTCGAAGTATCAAGTTTTTAATTAATTTAACTCCTAACTGCGTAAACGTATATATAATTATAGTTTTTTAAATTTTATTAATAATTTTTTTTTTTTCATTAAGAAAAAAATTAATATATTTTCGTATATGTATGAATGTTATAAGAAGAAAAAAAAAAAAAAAAAAAATAAGAGATATGTTTTTTAAAAGTAAATACGATAAAAAGCAGAAAACAAGACAACGATTACAAAATTCGTTTTTAGGGTGATATTCACCGGAATCTACACATTTGAATCAGCTGTTAAAGTGATGGCACGAGGTTTCATTTTAAGCCCGTTTACGTATCTTAGAGATGCATGGAATTGGCTGGACTTCGTAGTAATAGCTTTAGCGTGAGTTTTTTTTATTATTAATAACTCAATTAATACGATTATGATTTTCTTATGTTTTTTGTTTTATCCATAAAAAAAAAATAATTAAAAAAATTAAAAAACTCACACCTATATTATCATTTTCATAAAGTATTAATGTTACATGATTTGTGATCATTAAAAAACAAAAAATTAAATTAGAATATATATATTTTTTTTCGAAAATATCGTGTAAAAAAGTCTGTGTTTAGCTAAACAACATGTAATTTAAACATATACATACAATGTGTACTTGTTGTATATTCCACTTTGTCTTATTAATCATCTTAAATTTCTCATTAAAATTTATATTCATCATTAATTTTCCCGCAATTATTTACTTCTATTTAAATTACTAACGTAATGACAACTGAGTCGTCGCCGACGTCGTCGTTGCCATTGTCATTGTCGTTGTCGTCGTCTTCGTAGTCGCATAACCATTAGTTCTTGATATTTCTTTGAAAGCAACTCTTCCAAAATATAAAAGAGAGTTTAATCACATTTGCATTTATGCATCTATCCATCGATTTAAACATTCATTAATTTATCAATCGCCACATGATGATACATACATGCGATCTTATCATCGAATTCATTCTTTCATCCTTTTTGGGTTATCGTCTATTTTCTTTGTTTATTTCTTTCTTTCTCTTTCATTCTATCTATGTATAACCTTATATTTTTAAATTTCTATCTCTCTCTCTCTCTCTCTCTCTCTCTCTCTCTCTCTCTCTCTCTCT